CCAGAAATACAATCAGTTAAAAATGCTTCAATCCTTATTTTCTTGTCCGAATCACATAAATTACAAAGTGTAAACTGACTACGTCATAAGGTTTTACTTCCTTGTACGAAGTAAAAAGGAAGTATTGTAATCGCGAAAAGTTTCAGGCAGCATATTTCAACGAAAATATCCATTTTGACCGCTATCGAATGCAATTTAACGATGTTTTTGCGTGATATCTGTACGTAAGGACAGAATAAAATACTCTTTTCCTTCAAAAAAATTATAAAACTGCTTTAAAATTAATTCTGAAGAGAATTTTTCGTGGCGTCTGTACGAACGTACGTACGTACGTATCTCGCATAACTCAAAAACGAGTAGCCTCAGAACGTTGAAATTTTGTATATAGGACTGCTATAACATGTAGATGTGCACCTCGTATTTTGGTTGCAATCGGCCGCACCAAACGTATATAAATATATTTATATAATATATCCACTCTGTTACCGGCTCAGTGATCTCAGTTTCTTTACTCTTATATGTTTGTAAATTGTACATTTTTTGCTTTAAAAAATGATTGAATTATGTTGTTTTTATCTTCCGGTTAAGGATTTTATGCCTTTAGTAAATCTGTGTGCAATATTTTTAGAATTATCAGCAATTTTAAAGTTGTTTAATTGCCGCTAAGCCTTTTTTTAATGGCGGCCATTGATGTTTACATTTGAAACAGGAGACTAGTGGATTTGTTGCCAATCTAGAGAAACTTAGCTTCGCAACAACAAAGATAACGCATTCATTTATTATTGCCAATTAAATCATGCTTAATTCTTTCTGGAATTTTTTCGAGGAAATAAGCGTTTGAGATTTACTTCGTAATTTTTAATATAGATATTTTGAGTTTTTATGTATTTTTTTTTTGCCTTCTCGCGAAGTGAGAACTGAATTAATTAAATGAGAAATACTCAATCGTCTGTGAAAAACTGTTTCTTTTTTTTTGTTTTGTTTGCTTAATTTCTTTTATACATCAGTTCTAGCTTTATTATAGTATTTGAATAGAACATGTGGCAACGATTAGATAATTCTTTAAATGATATACAATTTTTGTGCATTCTGAGTTATAATATGAACGAAATATAATACTGTTAAGTAAACCTAGCGCCAGAGTGTCGCTATGGTAAACAAAGTGAATTTTAAAGAATGCATTTATTCTATTGTGGTTTATGCGCTGTCGGCGAAGTAGATTTAATTCAATCCAATAAGTTTAAATAAAATGCAAGAAAAAATGCGTATAATTTAATATTCCAATACAAGGAAGTCATGGTGTACACATCAGATTTTTTTGTATTGGCACTCTAGAGCCAAAAGTGTAAACAGCTAGACTTTCTTGTCTAATAATGGGTAGTTTCATTTCTACCACTAATTCTTTTTTCAAAAAACATCTCTGTGGCACATTATCTAACAAAATGTTAATCTCTTTACTTTTATTACTGCTGAGCAAGTTTCAAGTAGTATGTCGCAATCATCTGATTTATTGACACATGCTACGGAAGACATGAAATTCGTGATGCATAAAATGCTTACAAATTCCACAAATAATCTTTGTTTTACACTGCTTATATACGTGTCCATTAGAAAGACAGGAATAACACACCATTTTTTCTAAGGATTAATTTTTTCTGTTCTACTGATAAGGGACAAGAGGTAGAATTATGATCTATTTTCGGGTTTGTAAAAAATTTACATTTTTTCACATCAACAATAAATGCAGAAGTAGTAGGAATGTTCGAATTTTATTTATTTTTCCCACTTATAATCAACTTTGGTTTTATTAAATCTGCCATACTTTTGATTAGGTTTTTGTAAAGGATTAAATTTAGTTTCCAATCCCGAATCTGAAGTATTTAAAGTCTCTACTTAAGTACTCGTTACGTTCACGACATTGAATTTCAATCTTTAAAAAATTCCAATAAATCAGATATTTTGTTTTCATCTTCTGAATGTGTTTTTACAAGAAAATTCTAAGGATAAATCTTTGGGTATTGATTTTAAAACACGGGATACAGTAGACAACTGTAACTATTAGGATTAATTCTGTTATTTTCTAATCCTCAAATATGTCTTTTGCATTCTGAGTAAAGTCTACGCAACGCTACAATGTCATATGATTTTCGTACTGGACTTAGTTTTAAAAGTCTTGCCATATATGCATCTATAATAATATCTTTTTGACCAAAGCGTTCTTTTAATATGTTCAAGGCAATTTCATAGTTTTCAGAACTTAATGCTAAACCATGTAAACCTACCTCAGCTTTGTCTGTTAAGTATGATTTTAAATAACTAAACTTCTCAACATTACTAAAATTCACATTTTTATGGATAGCTACTTCAAACTGAAAATAAAATTCATTAAACCTTAATATATTGCCATCGTATTGAGGTGTCTGCAAGCAAGGAAGCTTTACTGTATTCTGCTGCTCACTTCTGGTTTCTACAACATTTGTTCTTTCAATTTCGCAAACAACTTCGCTTCTTTTGTTTTCAGGATTCTATTCGTGCAAACTTTCCAAGTAATGATGTTATCTTTATAAATTCTTGCTGTTTTTCAGTTTCTTTTTCTATTTCTTCTTCGTTTTGCACAATTTTAGAATTTCCTCATTAAGATACTCTAAGTTAGCTTCCTTATCTGTATGTTTCGCTAAAAGTTCCTCAATTAAATCAATTGATCTTTCCTGTTTATTTCAATTTCTAACAATTTCATAGTGTCAGTTGCTGCATGTCTGACAGGTGCTCTAATTTTTTTTAAAGCTTCAATATCCATCATAATGATTTAAATTATTCAATTCGCTAAATACTTTTTTGAATATTCAATTTGCAATTTACTTTATCTAAAGGTCTTTTCCGGATTTTTGGCACCAAAGATTTGTAAATACGCATATACATCTAATATCGCATTCGCCTTATTCTAAAACTCAATATTCAAATCAAATAATAGTAAAGAAATTTTGCTTACCTGTCAGACGCAGCAAGGATTCTTGCCTTTTGTCATTTTATCCAATTTTTATTGACGACACAATAAATACAATTTACAATAAAGAAGCACATGTAAACTTAATTCGCAATTCGCACTTAATGTAATATTTTGTTACATCACTTACTGTCATCAATGTTTTGAAAAACTGAAAAGAATTCAGGCACACACAGTGCCATCTGGTTCAAATACAGTTTCTACATATGTTTAAAGAACAACCAAGATAATAAACTCAATTCTATGTTTTCAGTGTTTTCCTTGTAAAAATTTTGGTAAGTTTCTGTTATCAGAACCAGATTCAGAAATGTATGTATGTGATTCATAAGTAAAAATGCTTACATATGTACGTACATACATGCATTTCTGAATCCTAATTTTTGGTCATTTTAGAATGCAATAATATTTCCCGATAGTAGAAAAGTACCAAAATTTTACAATTATACTTCACAGGGATGACAAAATTTAACTTGCTTGGAGTGCCAGCAGTTGCTTATCATACTAGTTTGACAGGCGAAATATTACTGTAGTCTGTATTAAGATGGCAAAGTCTTACTAAGATTAAAATGATATTTTTATTGGACTTTTTAAATTACAAAAGCCACCACTTATGCTACAGGCCGTAACTTTGCTACTTGCAGGTATTAAAATAACATATGATCAAGTTAACTTCAAGTAATGTAGCTTCCGACTACACAAGATGATCTACTTAAGTTTTTAATATCATATGTTTAATGTTACGTACCAAACTGGCTAATGCCAGAATAAACTTTGGTGGAGCTGGCAATAGGACATGAATTACAAGCAAGGTTGCCAAAATCTCTTAAAATGTTGCTTTAAAATGTTTTGGCTTAAATACTCAAATTTGTGTTCTCTATTGAAAGAAATAGGAATAAATTTTTAAATCATAATAACTGGTTAATTATGATAAAATCCTACAAATCTACATAAAATCCTACAAATCTTTCATAAGTATCTATCAATCTGTTCTTTTAAGATAAAAGTGTCAATTTAGAATAATTGAGAGGTGGTCTGCTAGCTAGTTAAACAGCTCTCCCAACAACTCACCTTCAGACCTTACCTATTCTGTAATGATGAATTACTGCCCTTCACTTAAAGTGAAAATAACTGGCATGGAAAAGTTAAATATTAACTTTATTTCTCACTGCTGGTGAGTTTGCAATACCAGTGCTCCTACTCAAGGCTACAAATATCTTCCGAGTCAGATAATTTAACTAAGGCATATGTTGCCAAATGTATGGTGATAACTTATAACCCATTAAGCCTTACCATATAAAAGAAAACAAAAATTGTGTATGGTCACTATTATTTTTTTGTTTTCTGTTGTGTACAATTTTTTTAATGTCATGTAATATGTTTGTACAGTATCATATACTTATATCTATCTATCTTTAGATCAGAATTAGTTTTATTATTCTTTTGGATACATGTAGTAAAAAAAAATTATTTTGTCCATCAAAGTTTTATGCATCATTATAAAAGCACCACTTCATCCAATGATGCGTAGAATTAGTTTCCTTTAGAGTGGCCATCTTGTTAGTTTAATTTAAAAATAACAGGACATTTTTGTAAATATAGAAGGAGCACAAGAGCAGGCTTCTAGGAACACTTGTGATCTGTGGACCACAGTTTGAGAAACTGTGTTTTAGCATATTATCTGAAAAATGGGTAAATCCTGACGGATTAGAGAAAAAGAAGTGTGGTGTGATTAATAATATAATCTTTCTGTTGCCTCTTTTTTTTTTTTTTTTTTTCTTATCTTATTTTTTTTAATAAGAGAAAATTTCAAGAATAGATCCTAAATTTTTTTCAGATTAATTCATTGAAAGTATGAGTTGGTTAAATTTTATTCTTAATGAAAGAACTTGAATCGGTTAAATTTTATTCTTAATGAAAGAACTTGAATCATATTAAATGAAATGTAATAATATTAAACATTTTGGTCTTATATTAATCTTGTCTTTTTGTTTTACAGAGAATTTACATAATTATTTTAGTAAGTTTGGAGAAGTGGTTTGATAGTGTTGTCATGAAGAATAATGAAACTGGTAGATCTCGAGGATTTGGGTTTGTTACTTTTAAAGATCCCAGTTGCGTGACTGCTGTATTGCAATCAAAACCTCATGAATTAAATGGACGCACGGTAATTAGAAAATATGGAATTATGTTTTGAGTATTTTTTTTTTGGTTTGTTTATTGAACATAATTGATTTATATGAATTAAGTGTACTTTTATGTTGAAGGATATAGTTAGAAATGTAAAATATTTAAAATTATTTAAAAGTGTGTTAAAATATATGTAATTTACTTTTATTTTTTCATCTCGTCACTTATTAGGGTAAAGTTGCATAAGTTATACTGCCTAAGAAAAATAGGTGTAAATTTTAGGATCTATGAAAAAAATAAAAATTAGTTGTCATAATAAAATCTTGGTGGTAGTGTTGCTGATATATATTTAGAATAAAATTCCATAGAGTCTTTGGGTCTTCCGTACAGCTACTACGTACTCTTGGATAAAATAAATAAAATTTATGAACAAGAACTTAATAGGACTTAGACAACCAGTATTCTAGGACATACCACCTGTCTTGTACCCATCATTTTCATTTTAGTCACTGAATCATATTCTCTTTGCAGTGTTCCTCACAAATATTGCAGGGAGATGAACATATGTGAAAAAAATATGGTTGAATAGAGGGTAATTCATTTTGCTGGAAGAGGCATAGTTTTTTGTTATGCCTAATCTTTAAAAGGTACGACTTGAGCAGCGGTATGACTCGCATAACCTTACCCTAATCTCATACGTATCATTAAAATGTTATTTTTGTGTTATTTTCTGTTTGTAATAGATAGCTATAATAAACTAAAAGTTTATTTCATTGATTTCAAAACCACATGTATTATATCAACCACATTTTATCACAAACTGTGATTATTTATATCTTTATATTTTGTTGAAAAATACTTATTAAATTAAAATTATTGAAATACGATAAGCGTTATTTTAATCTTAACACTTTACCGACTGATCGGCTGATAAAAAACATGTAAACAAATACAGTACATGAGATCATTTTAGAATGTAACTGTATTTTTTAAGGGGTGGGAGGTAATTGTTTAAAATTTTTTTTGATAACTTTAACATTTAAACATTTTTGCACTTTCATATATATATGAAAAAGACATAGCAATGTTGTTGGTATAGAATGTAGATCCATACTTAAAAAGGAAACTTGTCAGCCAAGTATGATTTAAATATTGAACTTTATTTCAGTTAGCATACACAGCCACAGTTTACTTGGTAATTTAGTTGTGCTTATTCAAGAACATTTACATTTTTGATACTGTTGCGATAAGAAGAGAGTGAAGTAGCATCTTAACAGGAAGAGAGATAGAAGCTAAAGTGCACATTTAAAATGCATTGTGGAAGTTCAACAAGAGAAGGCTTTGGTTTAGGTTGCTTTTTAAGAAAAAGGTTCAAGTCTTGAAATTTTGAGTTCGGGTTTCGAATTAGCTACGTCATCAGCATTACGCAATCCATGCAACAAGAATGATCTAGAAAGGATGCAGTCCAGAGAAGTTATTACTATTTTTAGAATAGAGAGGGGAATGAAGGTGCTAGTTTAAATAATAATTTTGAGATTTACATGTTTTTATTTTATACATACATACATACATATATATATATATATGCACTACTGCTATGATTTACATTAGAAAGGGTTCCACCCCTCCAGAATAAATCATTTGCTACATTACTAAACATTTGTATGTTATCTAGATTTTTAAAATTTACCTTTGTGAAAAGAAATTGGTTGAGTAATTTTTAATCTTATGCCAACATGAACTTATTCCTGTTTTCATTACAGTGTCCAGGAAAATCATGCATAGTGCAAATTATGGGTTCTGAGTGATCAATGCAATTGAGTGAAATACTTTTTTCATCTTTTTCAGTGATGGATACATCAATACAATATTTGTATTATATAATATTTGTCATGAACTTGTGATAAATGGCTATATATTGGTTTTAAAATTCTAGTTAATAATATTAATTTTGAATAAATGAGCATGGCCTGGATAAAAACTTGAATTTAAATTTAAGGGGGATGAAGGAACACATATTGAGAATAGTTAAGTGAAAATGATCTTCAACTAAAATAGAATGTATACAGGAAGTATGAAGATGTGGAATAGAAATTAACTGAGGGGTGGGAGAACAAAAAACCCTGGATTAGGTTTTAATTGTTTTCTTTATGCTAAGAAAATTTTAAAATTTTGATCCTGATATGGAATGAAGGTTCAGAATCTGCTGAAATCTTTTTAAAGTATTTACCAACTGTTCCATATACTATAACAAGATGAAAAAGTGAAATACTATTTGGTATCTTTACTTGACTTTTTCACACACGCGCGCGCACACACACACACACACACACACACACACACCAAAAAAAAAAGGGGGGAAGAGATAGAGAGGTTAGATAGTGATTGTTTTTCCTTAATTGTAATGATTTTAGACCCTTAGCATTATATAATACAGTCAAAAGTCGTTAATTTGGACACCCATAATCCGGAATGATCTATAATCCGGACCTCAAAGCTAAAATCTTTCTGAGCATGCGCCGCGTGGACGTATGCGCATAGGCGTTTTACGCGCGCGCGCAAGACATTTACGACTGCGTATATGCGCAAGACATTTACGACTGCGCATGTGCGTTTGCGCAAGCGCAGAATACGTTTTCGCGTACGCGTTTAATGTATAACGGACGGTATAAGCTAAAATTATCTAATTATCTATTTCAGTTAATGTTGATGATTGCGTTGTTCCTTAATCTTCGAATTGGATCCGGCTTATTATTTTTTGCAGACTGTAAGAGCAATTTTATAAAAGTAAGTTTAAACTTTCGATTATGTCAAATAGAATTTCCGATGCTGGAGCTCCCAAAGGATCTAGAAAACGAAAGTATGTTTCGATGTCCATCAAACAAAAACGAACTTGCTACAAAAAATGGATAAAACCATATCCTTTGTTTATCTAACCATTCCGAAATCTGTTTATCAATTTCACGCTGCTCTGCGCGGGGGGGGGGGGAGACGTGGCGGCGGCAATGAACTGGAAGTTGATCTGTCAGCACTATCCTTATCTTCAGGGCAGATGTTTTTATTTTATTCGGCTTATAATTCCTTACTAAATGTAGTATTTAATCTCGACTATATGTAATATTTAATCTCGACTATATGTAGTATTTAATCTCGATGTACTCCGTCTTTGATATGATTTAAATCAAATTCCTCGTCATTATAAATATCACGAATACAAATCAAATAGTTTTCTGGTTGCAATTTTCTAATTTTGGCTATGCGTAAGGTATGCTTTACGCATGCGCGCGTTAAAAGAAATGTTTAATAAAGTAAACAAATATTAAGCTTCTTTTTTTGTAAATTTTGATACCCTTTAGATCATAATTGCTCATTATTTTATAAATTACAGTTTCATATTTTTAATTTTATAATTTCTGCATGCCATCTTACCAGATTTAAACTGATGATCTATAATCCGGAAAAATCAATAATCCGGAATCGCCGAAGTCCCGACGAGTCCGGATTAAAGACTTTTGACTGTATATTAATTTCTTCTTTAAATGTTTTTAATTGATTTTTAAAATTAATCTGAGATATTCCTTTTGTTTATTATAATCACTTATTGCAATTTCAATCAGTTTGTATTAAATGATGTATTAAGTAATCCTTTCACCATGTTTTTTTTCACCCTGTATATATCTATTACTAACACTATGTTCTTATGTTATATTATATATCTATTACTAACACTATGTTCTTGCATCTGAAATAATGTAGACCTTTTTTATGAGACTGTTTCTTTGTAGGTTGATCCAAAGGAATGTACACCAAGAAGTATGCAGAAGGTAAGTTAATTCTTTAAAATGTTCTCACAAAGATGATTCAGATTCTTGCCTAGGCGAATGATGTCATAATTACTTTGATAAAGAGATCATCATAGGGGCTTTTTATGCTGAAAGCAGCAAATGCAATTCACTTGAATATCAGTAAAAGCAAATCAAATATTTGGCGATTACAAAAGAATCAGTAAACCTAAATCTACCTTGAAATAAGAAATTATAAGTATAAATCAGTGAATAGTTTTGCTTATCTGACTCAGAACAAAGATTTCCATTAAAGAAGAAATTAAGAAAAGTGTTATTGCTGCCAATCGTTATGATTTGGGAAAATTTTTACACTCCAAATTACTTAAAAGAGTCATGATACTACAACTATATGAGGCTATAATAAGATTTATTTGTGAATTTATTTACATCCATGCTCTGAAACCTGACCTAAGTCAATTACAGAAAATTCATTTGGTGGTTTTTTTTTTTTTTTTTTTTTTTTTATATTTGGTGCTGTAAATATTGTGGCTTGTAACAACATAGATACAGTAATGAGTTACATAAATTAAATAAAGAATGTGATATAATAAAAAAAATACAATAAAACTGAGTGCATGAAATGTTTGGTCACATTTGCAGAATGACTTCTTTTTAACATTTGAAATTTTTAGCTATACGCCATTAGAATAGCTATTAGTATGGAATTGGAAGAAAGTTTAAACTTTGGTTAAACTGAATTGATAATGACTGTAAAATTATTAAAATTACCACGTAGGGGAAAACTGGCTAAACAGAACAGGGATTAAAGGAAGACAATAGTCCACTCTGGAAAATATATTGAAGAAATAGTTAATTCTTTAATTTCATATTTTTTAAAACGATATTGTACATTTGGATATATGTTCAAATGTATGGATGTACAAAATTGCCTTTCTGGCTTTGCAATAAAAAAATTAGTTCATCTTTCAATAGCCCTGGTATAACGAATCTAATGACAGTGGATTTTTTTTTAATGTACGAGGGATTGGATAATTCATATATATAATCCACATTCATGTGCATGTAGTGTTCCATTTCAGATTGTGTATTCTGATGGCTAACAAATGGACTTTTATGCTTAAATATATATTTTGTATTGATGCCATATGTAAACTTTTGAAACGTTTTACATCCTGTATTTAGAAAAGTTTTTCTAATATTTTTATATCTGGTTGTAATTAAAGTTTTTCACCTAAAAACATTCTTAACAAAGTTAGAAAAAAAGCATGAATGCAGTACCTTTAGTGCGGGTAGTAATCACCACCAAAATCTATCATTTTCTGCCAACATTTTGGTAGTTTTTTTCAAAGCCTTCTGCTCAGAAACTTGGTGGCCACGAGTCCAAAAACAGATCAACCTCATTTCAGATGTCCTTGTAGAATGGAAGATAGCACCAGCAAGATGTAGCTGCAGGTGTGAAAAAAGAAGTCCAAAGAAGCGATGCAGGGGCTGGATGGCAGCGATGGCAAAAGATCCCATTTTAGTTGTGCAGAGTCCATCTGGTGAATGCAGACACTTGTGGTCTTGCATTATCTTGATGGAACACTAAGTGTTCTAAGTTGGAACTCAGTTTGATGTTTTTCCTTGATAGTAGCGTCAACACAGACTAGCATCTCACTGTACATCTTACTGTCAAGGATTTTTTACCTTTTTCCAGGTACTCTTTGTGGGTAATACCACGGTAATCCCATCAGATACAAAGCATGATCTTTTTGTCAGTCAAATTGCGCTTTGCGACGCTGATGACGGGTTCATCCAGCCCCGACCAACCCCCTTTCTGGACTGTGTTGTTTAAGTAAATCCACTTTTCATCATAAGTGCCGATCCGATCCAGAATTTTGTTCTTGTGTTGATATTTGAGCAGTTTAGTGCAGGCCCGAACACATATGTCCTTATTTGCTTGAGTCAACTCATGTGGCACCCAGCAGTTGAACTTGTATGCCAAGTTTTATGCAATGCATAGCACAACTAATCGACATGGTACTAACATCTAACTCCTTAGCAAGCTCTCGAGTGGTGCATAGTGATATTTTTCCACAAGTTCTCGCAGGTGGGCCTTATTAACATAAGTAGGCAGGCCAGAGAGTTCTGCTTCTTGAATGTCATAGTTCTTGTTTTTGAACATACTTTTGCAAACGTTCACAGTGTCATATGATACAACATTAGTACCTAAAGCTGTGCACATGATTTGGTAGCTATTGGTTAAAGAATTGCGAAAGCGTTAGAAAATTCCGGTACATTCCGTATTCTTTTCCTCCCACCCATGATTACACACATTTGAATTTCTATCAAGATTTTAATAATTTGCATTCTTGTTCCACGTGGTCGGTTCATATTCACGTTTATTATGATCATTATGGTTATATTATGAGCGTATGTATGAATATTTATAATAATATATTTGCAGTAACTGCTGGAGTATAGATAAACTTCAAAAATCAGTAAGTGTGTGTTTTAACACAAATTAGCTTTCTAAAGAATAATATTTGGAATGGCTTAAATAAAGTGAAAGTAATCGAATAGTCAAAATAATTTCATTTTTTTGCCAATGCATGATACAGTACGGAAGTTGGGTGTCCTCCCCTTTCTTTGTAGAATCTTGAATATTGAAACCGTTAGAGTTCGCAGCAAAATAAGCAACGGACTTTTTTTTGTCGCTTTCCAAACTGGATTGAATAGGACTAAACGTTCTGCGGTCTACCAACCCAGGTGAAGAATGATTCTATTCGAGAAATTTAACAAAATTAGAATGAAAAACACTCCATATTAGTAAGTCTCTTTCTTTCCCTTTATTTATTCTCTGAATACTGGCAGCTGTTGATTCCAATTGTATAATATCACATACAGAAGAATTAAGGCGCACGTATTGTGCAATAATGTTTGCGATATTTTGCGGAGCTAATTAATTTTGATGTTCAGTCTGAGATTTGTTTATGAGCACTTAAAAAGAGTTTTACTGTGCGTGCTAAGCAGAATATTTTTCAGTTCTGTTGGGCTATTTTTATATGATGCACATATCGAAATGTCAAAAGTATTATTTAGCTGAAAAATCTAAAGAACGGCTATAATCAATCTACGATCCCTCCTCTTTCTCCAGTTATGCTCGACTATCCGAAATTTTCAGATATTCGGCAGTTTCTGAGTATGCCGGATAGTTAAGCTTTTACTGTTAAAGGATGACTGCATGAAGCAATTTCTCTGTCTTCTGATTTCAGAAATGTTCCTCTTTTTACTTATTTTTTCTTTGCTTGCGATATATGTGAAGGGAAAACTGTTATACAATGAAAATTTAGAAAATGCTCAGAATTTTGATTTAAGTTAAAATTATTAAAAATTAATATGAGTGGGAAAATAAATGGTATTTATTTTTAGATGCCAAGGAAACATAATAAATATGGCTTGTTATTATTTATTTTTTCTATTTTGAACTGAAATTTCATCATTAAGTCTTGTAATATAGTTTAGTTCTGCATAGTTTTTTCCCCCACTCACTGTAAACTAATTCTGTAAATTGAATTGTTATTTAAAATTTAAAAAAAAGTAATAGTTTTCCATGGTTGAGAAATACTCATTCTCTCTTAATAAATTTCTCATATTTTAAATTACAAGTCTAATTTTTCTTTTAAGGTTATGCAATTTTGTATAGTGTAATTAGACAGGTGCTTATTTTTTTCTTAAAATGTGCTTGAAAAGTGCTCATAGGTGCTTGTTTTTTTAACTAAAATGTGGCTACTAATCCTGTCAGGGATATCCAAACCATTCACCCTGCAGTCCGTATTAGTCTTTCACAAAGCTTTGATGGCCAAGATCCAGTTAATTCATCATACCACGGCGATGCAACTATGATGAACAGTATATACATTTTTAAATGAGGCAGTGAGATTTTTGTGATTAGATCTAAACTGTTATGAAAAACCTTGTTTTTTTGGACTTTGATGTAGTTTTACCTAACATAAACTTCTAAAACCTGTTTTTAAACATTTGCAAAAATATATTGTTGTCCCAGAATATTAGAAATTTCCTCAGTTTAGTATGTACTTTACTTTTTTCATTGGATTTACCTCCCCGTTGTCATAATTTATCAGTACATTTTGTTTACAGTTTGATCAGGTGCAAACTTTCTCTAATATGTATTTCATATTTAGGGCAAGTTTTGAGTGAAAAAAAATCTCCAAAATTAAAATTACAACATACACAGAAGAAAAATTGAGATTTAAATCAAATCATTACTGAAATTTTCTGTGGACCAACCTAGAATACTACTGTGAAAGTAGTCACTAAACACTTGATATGCACACACATATCGCACATTAAAATAGATTCTTTCTGCTTTAGATGATCTTGATAATTCACTAGATTAATTTTTTAAAAACAGATTTCTTTTCATTAATTACATGTTTGAACAGCCAGTGGCACACTTTAGCAAAGGCACCTCCCTCAGGAAACGAAAAACACCAACCCATTGATATACAGCAGAGTCAATCACTTGAAATTTTCATCCAAAAAAAAAAAAAAAATCACTTCACGTAACTGGCCATGGAGTGAACAGCGCACTCATCATGTTGCAGAGAATGATGACCTTCAACACACAGCAATAAATCACTTTTCTAATTTTTTCTTTGGCAATGACTGGAAATAGTTGGGAGCTTGAAAATCTAATTGGGGGATTTTCGCTGGATCATCCTGTCTGACCTTTTTGCTGTGATAATTTAATGTGTAGGAAGAATTAGATACCCTAACAGCTTGCAGTCTTAGGTGGCTGAGTGGAAAGATGAAAAGATGACACTGACAAAAATTAATTTTGAAGAAGTCCCAATCTTTATTTTCATGTATATAAAACCATCTTAGTAGACATTTATCCAATTATAATGAAATGCAGTAATTTTTATATACACTGGTTTTAAAAGTACGATGTAAGCAAATTAGTCTGAGAAGCAAAGCTGCAAAGCAAAGGTGTTAGCACGGTAGAAGTCAGGGAA